AGACTCTCTGGCAGTGGGATTATATTCTGTCACTCCCCTGATTCATGTCTAAAATCCATAAATGAGTGAGTACATACAATGTTTCTCTTTTTGCCTGGGTTGCCTCACTCAGGATGGTTTCTTCTAGTGCCATCCATTTGCCTGAAAATTTCAAGATTCCATTTTTTTTTCCTCTGAATAGTACTCCATTGTGTAAATGTACCACATTTCCTCTATCCACTCTTCGGTTGAGGGGCTTCTAGGTGGCTTCCAGGTTCTGGCTATTACAAATAAGGCTGCTATGAACATAGTGGAACAAACATCCTTGGATGAAAGTGCATCTTTTGGGTATATGCCCAAGAGTGGAATTTCTCGGTCTTGTGGTAGACTGATTCCCATTTTCCTGAGGAATCTCCATACTGATTTCCAAAGTGGGTGTACAATTTGGCACTCTCACCAGCAATGGAGGAGTGTTCCCCTTTTCCACATCCTCTCCAGCATAAACTGTCATTGGAGTTTGTGATTTTAGCCATTCTGACAGGAGTAAGATGGTATCTCAGAGTGGTTTTGATTTGTATTTCCCGGATGGCTAGGGATGTTGAGCACTTTCTTAAGTGTCTCTCAGCCATTTTAGACTCCTCTACTGAGAATTCTCTATTTAGTTCTGTAGCCCATTTTTTGATTGGATCCTTTGGTGTTTTGAAGACTTGCTTCTTGAGTTCTTTGTAAATTTTGGAGATCAGCCTTCTGTCAGATGTGGGGTTAGTGAATATCTTTTCCCAATCTGTGGGTTGCCTTTTTGTTTTGCTGACTGTGTCCTTTGCCTTACAGAAGCTTGAAGCACGTGGTGGTCTTAGCTAGTCTCTCATCTACTTCCATCAGGTGACAGATGAAACAAGATCCTTGAAAGAGCAACTGAGAACTGACAAGAACCCCCCCAGCAGCTTTTCTCTCTATCTCTCTGTCTCAGTTATTTTTGCCTTTCTTATAGACTTATGATCTTATTCCATGTCAAATATGAAATGTGCATATCATATAGGCTCAAGTGTTTGCATGTTTTTCTGAGAAGTTGTGACAACTTTGGGAGATGGGACCTATCTGGGGAAAGTTAGTTCAGAGAGCAGCTCCCTGGCAGTCTCATATCCCCAGATGCTCCTTGACTCTCTCTGTTTCCTGGTCCATTGTGATGTAAACTGAGATGTTCCATCAGACTTTCCCTGCCATAGTGGATTTAACCATCTGAAACTATGAGCCAAAAATAAATCCTTCCTCTTTAAGTTGTACCTGAGTAATATTTTGACAAAGCAAGGTAAAAATAACTGAGACACACCTCTGACATGTTTTCTCAAAATATGCTAATTTGAGGTGTCTTCTAATACAATGGTGTTAGGACATTGAGACCATACCTACTCAGGATTTTAGACCAAGAATTCTAGAGATCCAAGTCTATGTTGTCTTTCTGCTCCTAGCCTAGTGTGACAGGCTCACATAAGGTCACTTCTACCATCTGCTGTTAGTGACAAAGAAGACATGTAGTGTCATCCATCCTAGAGTAGTACACAGATTCCACCTCTCAATTGGAACAGTATTCAAGGCACACTGATGAAGGAATATGGTGACTGAATGGTGACACTTTGGTCATCTTCAAAATAGTCTACTTGTTCATTTTTCTACTGAATTTCAAGAACTGACTATTGAGAACTAATTTTTCCCATTATCTAATAATGTGGCCATTAAATTAGAAGCAAAACCATTGACTTCAAAACTAGACAAATATTTAGTGTGCATGCACGTGCACAAACACACACACACACACACACACACACACACACACACACACACACACAGGGCAGCTAGGGACAGTCCTAAGGATCTAACTGTTTCTACTCCCAAGTGCTGACTTTAGAAGCACACACCACCTCCAACAGCTTTTATTACGTGAACTCTGGAGATTATACTCAGATTCTCATGCTTTTGTAAAAAGCACATTACTGCATTATGCCACCAGCCCATGCATGACTTTTTATAGCTACTGTTTACTGAATGAATGAACCTCTCCTGAGAACCTTGTCCTTGATTCACCGTGTGAGGCCAAGTGCTATTCTGCAGAAGATTTAGGAGAGCAAAAGATACAAGCAGATGCAATGGCTTCTGCCAGAAGCCATCTCAAGGCTCTCTTTGGGTTCCTGTATTTAAATTTCCTTGATCCTAAACCAAATACCCAGGGCTTTAAAGAGGAACAATAAGAGAAGGAAGTCAAACAGGAGAGTGCTAATTAAGCTAGCACTTAGTTAGGATGATTAAGGAAGGAAAGGGACAAGTGTCAATAATCTAAATAAAAGGTAATCAAATCCACTATCTTAGTTCTAAAAGTCTGACCTATGCTTCATCTGTAGAATGTCATGCCTAACCACTTTCCATTTCCCTTCTAGAGTTCTCTTTTCTAGTTGACAATCTGAACTACAGCTTTCTGGATAAATAGAAACCAACAGCCCACTGTTATTATAACCTAATTCTCTGAAATCATAAGGTCTCGTAGGCTTGATATAGAGACTGGATGATATGGCTTACAAGTAATTCCTTTCCACATTTCCAGTTATCCCCACTCTTATTTCTTAAGACATTTAGTATTTGTGGAGACTGACCTGTTTCCACAAAAGGCCTGCAAATGTAAGTCTTCAGCTCAGACAAATGGTAGAATCAACAAAATAGAATGCACTGGTTCCTGACTAAGAAACACATTTAAATGTTGGAACGGGTGACTGGACTGAATCCATCCAAGTGTCTGAAAGCCAAGAAAGGGTATTCATGCAAAAGTATTCTTTCTCACTCTGGAAGCAAAAGCAGGTAGATTTCTGTGGGTTTGAAGCTAGCTGGTCCACATAGTGAATTCTAGGACAGGGCTATATAAGGAGAACCCCTCTAAAATAGATAGATAGATAGATAGATAGATAGATAGATAGATAGATAGATAGATAGAAAAATAAATAAATAGATAAGAAAGCCCTGACTTGCTCTCCTCTGTAGAGCTTTAATTGGTATAAATTTGGTTTTCTGAAAGAAATGTACATCACTAATTATGACTTCTCCTATTTGATTTAAATCTATGAAATATTTCACAAACTGACAGGTTGAGGGGTATCATATGAGTCTCCCTTTTTCCCCTTATCATGAAAAGATTTTATAAAATATGTATTATCTGTTCTTAAAATATTTCATATTTACTCTATTCTAGAAAAGTCCTTTATTGTGGCTTGAATGTGTCCACCAAAAAGTTCATGTGGTTGAAATTGAATTCCCTTTAATGACAACCAAATGACATTTGGAGGCAGGGACTTTCAGATATAACTAGGGTTAGATACGGTAGGATCCCCATGATGTCACTACTGACTTTACAAGATGAGGAAGAGTGTTTTACTGTGGTACACTTGCTCACCCCTGATGTGTAATGCTGTCTGTCTTTATGTTTACTGCAAGAAGCCCCTTAGTAGATACCAAGTAAATGTAGGCTCAATGCCCCTTGACCTTCCCAATCTGTAAACCAGGAGCCAAATAACCTTTTACTCTTTATGACTCAGGCCATTGAACTCACTCATGAGAACAGAAAGTGGACTCACAGATACTTTTATAAACCTTGAAACATTGCTGTTTTTATGGTGTGTTACAGAGATTAAGGAGGCTTCATGTACTCTGAGAAAGCTTTCCCCTATGTAAACAATAGCCCAGGAGAAAGCAGGAATGGAAAAGAAGCAGACAGTTCGTAAGCAGAACTAGCAAACATGGTCTGTAAATGCATCAACTAGTTCATAAAAAAGGGAGTGTCTGCCTTACTTGTGAGCAAGTAGAGACACAGGACAGCAGCAGGTCATGATAGGGAATAGCCTACATGGAGACAACTAAAGCTGTCTTGATCTGGGAAGCCATAGACATTGAAGGTGAACTTTATATATCTGAGCTGGTCAAGTGGGTTAGTGTGGAAGCTTATGTAGAAACAGCATTCACAAAAACCATCCTGGTGAAGCCAGACTGACCCTTCACAGAGCACTTGAGCACTTGAGCTCTGTCTGTCCTAGACTAAGGACAAAATACAGTTGCTGCCTTCTCTTGGGCTGCCTGCTCTTAAGCTTTACACGGGTTTAAAGAGATGGACAAGGATACACATTGGTTCATAAAGTGCTTTTCCACAAGCATGAAGTCTCAAGTGTGATTCCCAGCACCGACGAGAAAATGCCAGGCATGGTGACTGCCCTCGCAATCCCAGCACTAGAAAAACAAGACAGGTGAATCCCTGGGGGTTTACTGGCCAGCAGTTCTGGGGAAATAAGAAAGAAACATTTTAGACAGCTCCTCAGATAGGATATCTGAGATTGACCTCTGTCCTCCTCATGCATATTCACACACACACACACACACACAGACACACACACGGCGGGGGGGGGGGGTATTAAAGTATTTTCATTAAGAAAGAAAACTTAAACAATCCTTTGAAAACCCTCCAAACTTGACAGACACTGCAGTAATTTCTTTCTCTTTGCTTTGTTAGTGAATATTTATAGTATTTATCTTTAAAGCTCAGTTTAGAAGGCAGGCTATCTATCTCTCCACTTATTTGACTTCACAATAAAACAAAGGGGTCTTAAACTGCTACAAGCAGACACAATGAGGACATGAGCTCTTTCTTTGGAATAAGTTATTTGATCTAACTCTGATTCAAGCTCTGTCACTAACTGTATGACACAGGGCAACTTATGATCTCTCTTGAACTTGAGTATTCCATTCATAACCTAAAGATGATTTAAAAAAAAAACCTCCCTTTCTGAACTGTCTTAAGATTTAAAGAAGCCCATACATCCCCCAAACACTTTGTAAAAAATGAGGCACCAAGCAAGTGTTGTCTGCATAATGTAAATGGAATGACCCTTGTGTTCAAGGTCATCTGTAGGTGTCAAAGGTGAGGCCAATAGCCCCAGACCACTATTAGTAATAGACATGAAAAGAATCACATTTAATTGCAACACCAGTTAAAGGGAAGTCACACAATTTATTTAGACTGTCTCTACAAGAATTCTCCAAGTAAGAACTATTTCTAGGGGAGTATGAGAACATAAATGCTGAACCAGACCAAGTAGATTATGTCCTGAGACTTGAAGGTTAAAAGTAAGAAGAGCTATAGAATATGCATGTAAGAACTTAAGAGAGGATGGACAAAAGATGCCTGGCCCTACTGAGGTAGGCTGCAGGAAGCTCTGGAGGCTGTGAAGAGTACTGTGAAGATTTACTCTGTCTAGTTTTCAAATAGGGAAAATTTGGTATCAATCTTGCTTAATTCCTCATGTTTTAATAAGGAAATAGACTCTAGATGTGAATGCAAATTCTTTAGTTTGGGGATTAAAGGGGTTGGTAGACTGTTTGCCTAGCATGCAGAAAGTCCTAGATCTGCTTCCAGCAAGCATAAACCTGGACTGGTGGTGGTGGTGTGTTCTTGTAAGGTCAACATGTGGTAGGTGGAGACAGGTGAATCAGAAATGGACAGTTATTCTCAAGTTACAAAGGGAGTTCAGTGCCAGCCTGGGCTATATGAGATCCTGTCTAAAAGGAGGAAAGACAGAGAGAGACAGAGACAGAGATAGATACAGAGAGACAGAGATACCCAGAAGAGGAAGGAAGAAGGATAGAACATACCAACAACAGCAAAACTAAGATCAGTTTTGAATATGAACTCATATTTACACAGAAATAAAACCTTCCACCAATCCTGGAACTTGTAAGACAAGTGTGGATCAGATCTGCTTGTGGGTTTTGACCTTCGTAAAGTGAGAGATAAGCCATGATCTGAGTAGCAAAAGTTGGAGCTGAGTTGCTGCCATGTTCACTAAAATGAAGTTGGTCATGTGGAATGTGGGTGTTCTGATGCTATCAGAGACAGAAGTCATAAGAAAACAGAAAGTCCAAGTGGAGCCCTGGTCATTTATGGGAAATAACCTCTGATACCATCTTTCCTCCTATGAAAATGAGATTTTCTTTCCCCACTCATACCCCAACAACTTGCTAAACATTTCTTAAGTCATCAGTGCATCAAGATGAAACTGATGCCTGTCACTCTGGCTAGAGTCCACATAGTAAAGGGAGTTTGGACAATAGATGAGTATAGAGAAATGTATGTTGACAGTCATATTCAACCAAGATCAGCGGAGCCACTGTGACTCCAGACTCTACCAACGAAATTAATGTGCAGCTGAGTTCCGCTATTTTTACAACAATGTATTCATGATGTTTCCGATACAAAAGGAACAGTGTGCACAAAAATAAACAGCACTATAAAACAAAGTAAAATCCTGCTGACAGAAAGATTATGTTTGATTATGGAAAGAAAATACTGGCTTACTCAGACAATGATGATTTTAATCTTTTTCCTTTTTTTTCTTTATCTTTTATTTACCTTTTTGTTTTGAGGTGATGCTGATGTTAGGAATTGAATGCCTCTTTTCACATGGTAGGCAAACACTCTAACAGTGAAACAATTCCAAGGGAGATTCCTCAGTTTATGCCAAGATCTCAGAAATAAACCAAATAAAATGATGAAAATTGAGTCTGTCTATTTGTATAGTACTTGTACATGAGGCTACCCAATGTGCAGGAAGAAAGAAGCAATGCTAGCCACACTAATAATAGATTTTTTGGCATTTTTTCTCTGTTGTAATTACATAGTACAGGCTTGAAACTATTCAAACCAACTCCTTCCAGCTAAACCACTGAAAACATAGTGATTTGCTTTTGTTATGCATTTTCAGCAAGATGAGCTGTGGGCACGGAAGTAAAAGGGAAAGGCGGAGGCTTACAGCAAACACTGTTTGAGTGGTCAAATAGATATTTATAATTATAGAAATGATGCAAAGACACAAATCCAAGTGGGAAAGATATACATAGAGATGATGGTTTCTCCACCCACATTTTCCTACATACCCCCCAGAAATTGTACAACTACTGTTTGAATGGGCTTGTGTATATAGTTACCTGTGTCAAGCATATCTTAATACTATTGGACATATGTCAAGCTAACTATGCCACAAGTTAAATACCCAGAATAACTGGATTTCTGCCTTATTGCTCAAACAGATCCACTTAATGTAGCCATGTGTATTTATAAAGAGGCTACTATATATGCCAGGCACAATGATAAACTTATGACCTTCCTGGCCACCCCTGGTCATGCAAGACCTTGCCCACAGGCAGCTTTCCCCTCTGTCTGCATTACAGACCTTATGTAATTCTTTAAGATTCAACCTTGGCTTTAAGAACAAGACTGTTAATGTCTGTGTCCACAGCCACTGGTAGAGTACCATTGCACAGATTGCGTAGTTGATGGATAAAGGAATCAATGCCACCAAAAGTCAGAATGGAAGCGCTATTCAGGTTTTCTGAAGAATGTGGGGAGATTAGCTCATGCCTGGGAAACCTAAGCTTTACATGTTCATCAGACGCTGGTATCTGGGAGTGAACTTTATCAGGACATTCTCCTGAGAGAGAAGACTGTTTTGGGCTTCTTTGTAACTTCCCCTTCTTCCTTGAATGCTTTGGAGTAGCCAGAGAGGGTAGAATACAAATGTAATAAATGTGAGACTGCATGCAGTAAAGCCCTTTGGGGGTGTGATAATGATCTGGTAATAATGGCTTTCCACCAATAATCCAAGGTATTTCATGGTTTGTCTGGTCTAACCAGTTATGGTCAAGAAGTACACCCTCTCAGTGAGGTGAGGAATCTTGGAATGAGGGTTGGGGCTTACTGATAAGCAGAGTGGGGATGGGCCATCCACCCCCATGAGGGTCATTATATACATCAGTCAGTACACATGAGTCATTTTCAACCCAAATTATGTGTCTCAAAGAGAAACTCTCAGCATGCATTCTTCTCACCTGAATCCATCATTCACAGTGAGCTAAGGGTATTTACAATTTAATCACAGTACTCCACATCTTACTGTTCACATTCTGTCCTGGTTCACCTGAGGCACTCACGGAGTTCCCTGTGACGTCAGTAATAAGTGACCTATTTATCTCTACCCCTGAGGCTGCTGATCTGAAAGCAGAAATTTTAAGTCAAAGAGAATCAAAAATGTGTTACTTTCTTGTGTGCATAATCAGTAGTGGGGAAAACCCAGAAAGAGGTGGAAAGGCAGAAGGAAAAAATCCTCTGACATGCCTGGGTTTATGTAACTCATTCAGTCCATCTAAGAACTCACTGGAAAAGTTAGAAATGCCTCCCTCATGCACATCAGATCAATGCTTCTATAATCAGAAGTATTCTTGGAGCTAACACACACCTAAGTTAAAGACTGCCTCAGCAAGTTACCAAGGGATAACAGGTCCAGACTCTGAGTTAACAAAACATTACCTCACCCACAAACAATTCCATTAACTGTTCAGACCCTAAGGTCAAAAATCCTTTTTCTAAGGTTCTGGAAGTTTCTCCACTTTCAAAGCAATTACAAACGTGACCTTTCTGCCTCCCTAAGAGCAGACAGCTCAAGGTAACTTTTCCTAATCAATACAAGGAGAGAGTCTTAGGACTTCTTTAGAATGGTTGAACAAAGAGGTACAGTGTAATTTAAGAAAAACACAAGTTCTGACTCACTTGGAGATAAATATGAAGGGAAAACACTCAGCAAGTGTTTCTGGGGGGGGGGGAGAAAATCCTAAAAGCTAAGAGAAAATGGAAGCATGGAGATAAGACAGTTTGCGGGCATGGGGGATTATTGGATGATTTGGGCATGACTTCAGTCCATTTAGAGGCAAAAATCATCTCCCACTTAGTTCAGGTATCATCCCTTACTTCTCTTCATAGTTAGAGCTCTGCCCAGACATCCTCTAATAGAGAGAGAAAACTAATGACAGATAAAGATACTGGCCCACCATAGGGATAATCAAATCAGGAACTAATGCTGATGTCATGGGGATGAGTAAAAAACAAACAACAAAAATAAAAACAAAACAGCAATCCAGCTGTTGAATGCATGCTTACCTGAAAGCAGCATGGATACCAGCTGTCTGAATGTCCTTATGCGGATAAGGTGGCCTGCTTCGGCTTCTCTCGTCTCTCTAAGGGAAACTAATGTGTTGCATAGCTTCAAACAAAAGCAAAAAGCAGGATGATGAACAGAGTCCAGACTGTCTCACACGTGGCATGTATTCTTCTGAGTAGGTACCAGAGAGGTAAAAAAGATAAGAAGCAACTTGAAGTATAAGTTTCTTTGAGCTATTCGTAATTGCCAAAAGGGATCTAATCTGATTGCGGTGATCAGTCTGCTTGGGCTAGCTCAAGGATCTTCTAAAGATGAGCCCATCAGGACCTCCTGCAAAGCTGGGTCCTTTCTATAAAGAGACCCACAACCAAAAACAAACTAATAAGCAAACCAAGGCTTGCTGTGTATGCCTGTGATCCCAACAGAAGCAGGTAGTTCTCCCTGATTCCAACAGAGGCAGAGGCAAGTGGTGGTCCCTGAGTTCCAGATCAGTTAAGGCTATATAGTGAGATCCTACTTAAAAAAAAAAAAAAAAAAAGAAGGCAAGAAGAAGCAGCACAGGACTCAAGGGTCACTTCAATGTCTCCTTGGGTGTGAGAGAGAAAATAGATCTTTAAAGAGTTAACCCTGCAGCGGTGGTCCACATCTTTGATTTCAGCACTCAGGAGGCAGAGGCAAACAGATCTCTGTGATTTCAAGACCACCCTGGTCTACAGAGCTAGTTCCAAGGCAGCTACGGCTATTACACAGAGAAACACTGTCTCAAAACCACTCCCTGAAAAGAGGTAAATGACCTACAGGATTCAGGAAAAGAATATTCAGATATTATTTCAATGGGGGTAATCTGATAAGATGAATTAACTTTAAAGGAAGCAGGGCTACCTGGAAGAAATATTTCTTCTCAAAGACATACTACTTTCATTCAATCTTCTGTATAAAATTAACAGCATCATTTTTGTGTGTTCTTTTTCACATTTGTATGTTGCACATGTGTACGTGTACATGTGTACTCAGATGCTTGTAGAGGTCAGCAGTCCATGTCACCTGTCTTCCTCATGTACTCTCTATTTTGAGCCTCGGTCTCTCACTAAACCCGGAGCTTAGATCTTCGGCTGAGCTGGTTCTCCAGCAAGCCCCAGAAGTCCTGTGATCTCCACCTACTTCCCACCTTGGAACACTGGAACCCACACTGGAACTACAGGCACACTGGGGGACCTGAATGCAGGTCCTTGTGCTTGCTGGGCAGGCATTTTACAAATGAGAGATGGTCCAGGCCCTCTGACACCATTTCTCTAAGTGTACTGGTATCAAGAAAACAGACATGACAACCTAGTAAATATGTCAGAGAGATGCTGTTGATTCCCCTGTCTTGTCTTCTTTACTAACAAAGTACTATAACTTTGACAATTATACCTTTACTTCCTTAAGTATAATTCCTTAAACATATCCCATAAGCTTCCCATATTCTGCTTTCCAGTGAAAAGCCACTTTTTATTTTTATCCACCCTTTCCTTGTAGCTTGTTTTTTGTTTGTTTGTTTGTTTTTCTCTTCTACTTTGCTGTTTTCATCCTTTTGTTCAAAGGAGAAACAGTTTCCTCTCAGAGACAGGAAAGTTTATTGACTTCTCTGTATTCTCATTACTATTAACCCTCTCTTTCCCTAATTGTTTTTCTCATGAGCACTGGGCCATTTTCCTATCCTGTTCCTCAGTTCCAGATTCCCTTTATACAGTTGTATGAGCTGATGGTTTCTGCTCCCAGCAGCCACCTCTATAGCTCTGCCAAGTCAGGTCGGTTTTGCTTCCTTCCCCAGGGCACCAGCTCGGAATGCTGTGTTTCCAGCTCTCCAATGAGATCCCACTCTCACCTTCACTCCGCCACCCTGGTGGTTTCCACCTTGCTCTTTCCTGGACTCCACGCATTTGGAATTCCCCAACAACAAGATAATCTCCAGCTTTCTATATTTAGTTTGCCTGCACATTCAAATCACACCTCCAATGTTTAGTAATCGTTATTAAGGAATACCATGAGCTTTTTTTGTAAGACAATCAGTTCTATGAACAAAGGAAACCCCTTCTGAAATCATGTTTTATATCATTAATCCTGCCCTTCCTCTCAATCTTTCGATACTATGAGTCAGAGTTGCATCCATTAGTCAAAACACTGTTAATGAATTCCAGTTAAGACTAAAGTGATTTTCTAGTTTTTATTCTATATTGGGCTAGTCTAATTTATCACCGTTATTTTGCCAATGTTTTGAAATGTGAACAATGACTGAGAGGTATAAGTATCTGTGTGTTTGAGGAGTTTGCCTCAGACAGGAATGTTCCTTGCTTTGCTGGTTATCAACCTTTTGTCTCAGAACCACATCCTGCCTTTTACCTTCAGCTCTGCAAAGCTGGAGACAGGACTCTGCCAACTGTATCCAGTTAAAACTTCCTAAGCATGGGATACTAGAAAGATGCTGCAAACTAGAAGAGGCACTAGTTCCTGTTTGCTGCCTGTGAATTTCCCTTTGACTTCCTGTGTCTATGAACATCACACTAGTAAAACTTATGAGCTGGGGCCAATCATTCTCTACGGTAGGATCTGACTCTACATATGGAGACTTGTATCAAACCAATTGCCCCTGGCACCTGGATTCATTCAAGGATGATAATCTGTGTTGCTTTGTTGTGTCTGGGAATGCCACAGATGCACCAATGCAGTTTCTGAGTTCTTTGTGATGTCAGCTAAGTCTTACATGGCAGCCTTAGCATCGTTTAGTTCTTTTGATAATTTACAGTTGTACCTTTCATACATGTGCACTAACCTCTGCCTTTCTTCATGGCCAATGATAGTGAAACTATATGTGGCTGGTGTTTCCAAGATTCACTTTCCTCTCTGTATCTTACAGCCTCGGGAAGTCTACACAGAGAACAAGGTCATGTATGCTAGACAAATACTAACTCTTAATTTGTAGGTTGTGACTCAGGCAGCAGTTCCCTCTGCAGGCGAAAGAGGATGAATGGAATCATTAAAACCCAGAAAGAAAGCAGAAGGGAAAACTGAGATCATAGAGCCTCACCCCCATGAGTCATGGCAAAGGTTTCCCAAGCAAAATGTAGCTTCATGTCAAGCAACATGGAGGCCCTCATAAAAAGTCAAACAAAATCTAAATGTTTGCTATTAAAATTATCAGGATAGAAGGAAAGAACAAAAACAGCAGAAGTAAATTTTTCAGATGCTTCCCTGAGGTTTATAAAGCATGACCAGAGATAACGAGAAGCTGTCCAGGGAACAATGGAATGATGGAGTATGAGGCTTCAGAAGGAGTTATGGTGAGAGGGATGTGCAGTCAACATCATTCTAGATCCATAAGATATCCATTTAAAAAAAGGAAAAAAACACTGTTTTTTCTCCTCCATGTTAAAGACACCCTTAAGAACGTAGTCATTAGTAAGCAAAGAAGAAAGCTCTCATCAGACACCAAAGGGAAACTCTAAGCTTGGCTTTACAGCCTTCAAAACTGTGAGAAATAAATTGCTTAGACGGTTCTCCCTGGTGAGGCCATTAGTCCACTGCAATTATGGCTCAGTGCGCTCATGAAGCAAGACCCAAAAGGAGAGTTCCCAGTCTTCTGTGGGTGATTTCCAGAGTTTATCCATGACATGTGCTGTTCATAGCATCTTCCCTGTAAAAAAAAAGATCATAACACAATAATACCTATCATGTGTGCTAAAGATACTTAGTAACACAAGAACAAGAAGCTAGCTGTCCTTCCAGAGGTTTGGGCAACTTGAAATGGCAGTTAGACTTCCTTAAACCAACTATTGGCCATTTCCCTCTTTTTCATTTTATCAAATAGCATTCATGCCAATGTTTCAATGCTACCGATGACACTAGGAGCGAATATTCATTTTGTGTGTGCCTATGAATGTTCTTGTATTGCATATATATGCCTTTAAGGGTAGAGATAAACCTTAGGCATCATTCTTCAGTGGCTACCCACCTACTGTTTTCAAGTCAGGGTCTCTCATTGGCCTATTTCACTAGACTAATAGGCTAGTGGAACCCAGAAACCTAGCTGCCCCCACCTCACCAGCATGAGATTACAAGCATGTGTTACCACACCCGGGTTTCCACATAGCTTCTACAGTTTGAATTCAGTCCTCATTCTTGCATGACTGGCACTTTCCCACCTAAACTATCTCCTGAGCCCCTAATCTTTAGTAAGTATGAGTCAGAAATATGTAGGTATGTATGTATGTATACATATGTTGGGCCTAAGAAAGGCTCGGATGTGAGGCCCAATGTAACCTCCTGAGCCTGGCTAGAGTTTGGCTACCTGCCTCTGACCTGTAACCGCCACGTGGGGGTGACTATGCCAGACCTGATGTAAGACTGCCCCCTGCCTAGCTACCTGCCTGCTTGGTGGAATATTATTGGCGCTTACTCCTCACATCACCTTACCCTATCCTATGACTCCCATCCCCTAACTCAGACCTATATAAGTTCGTACCTGTTGGAATAAATCGAGATCCTGCTTCGACAGACTCCCAACTCTGTGTGTATTTTTTCTCCCCAGTAACTAATGGGGGGAGGGTATGAGTCATTGACACTCACCATCCTGCTCAGCCCTGGGAAGAGACTGGCTGGACCAGCCCTTCTCCTGCTCTACCTTCTGGGATGACCCGGCATATATATTCATTTGTAAATGTATGTCATAGGCTCACTTATTTTTATTCTTCATTGAGGGGTTCCAATTCTTCACAGTCCTCATATACTATTAAATGAGCAGAGCACAATGAGTATTATAATTCTGCATTGTAAGTTCAGCACAGAATAATTCAAATACTATTTGCACCATATATTCCAAAGCACCGTGAACATTGTTCTGCATGTACCTAAACCTACCATTTATGAAAGTCCTATCTATCTGTCTGTGGGTCACATCCATAGAACTTAATAGAGATTAATGTCCCTGAAATTTGACTTGTCATAAACAGTTACATGCCACCGCAGGTGTAATATACCCATTACTTATTGAGCATGTTGAATGATCTTGGTAGTAGCCTATATATTCATTCTTGCCCATTCTTTTGTTTCTTACAATGTCAGGGTGGTATTACTTTCACCCACATTGCTGGTGTGTGTTTATATGAGTTATTAATGTCAGTTGAAAGTCTCTTCCATGGCAACCAAGTTATGATTATAAAATTGGCTGGCTCCTTCTCCAAAATGAATTGATTTTGTTACAAATTCTTTGCAATTCTAGAGAAGTATAAAGACATTATGATTTATTATGAGGTCAATACTAGTTGAGAGCAGATATTCAACATTAGAATAAAAATGAAAATAATAGTTTCCATAAAGCTATTAGAAACCACAACTCATTTCATTCTTGGAATATTATATAATTCTCTAGGCAATGAGATCATAAACAAGAAAATCCCACAGGCAAAATCCCCGAGAAAGTCCTAAATATTTGTTTTAGAACTTTCAGATATATTTCTCTTTATAATTATGATCTCAGACAAGAGTCAGTTGCCAATAAAGGATTTCCATGTAAGAAATATTGCTGTAACAACAAGTATTAAAGTGCCAACAGTGTTCTAAAGAAGTTGAGAACTTAAGTGTCTTTTTTATGCATCAACATAACAAAAGAAAATGACAGCATACTTTCTTGGAGAATTCTGAAGTATTAATTACATTGTCAAAAGTGAAGATTACATCACACAGGCATCCTCTCAACTCGTTTCATAGATCAAACATTGACTGGCTAATTTGAATATTAACCTGTTTGGATATTCAATTTTAATTTTGTTATACATTTTTCTTATGCAAATGACTCATACTGTTCCAAAGACACAGAGGGCTCAGACTAACTGAATAAATTTCAGTGACTGACCAGATCCATGCAGTGTTATGTCTACTCTGCTTTGTCTTTTGTGCCGCATTCAATCATGAGAAGGTTCTTAGTGATTCAAACCAGCCTATTTTCTTCATCTTACAAGAAAGCCAAGTTCAATAAGGCAGTCTTGTTTGAGTCTTATATTATTAAAGAGCTGAAATATGCTCAGGACAGAGTGCTCTGAGGACCCACTATTACAGGCACTGCCCTATCAGTGAACAGGTTTGAGAAAAATCTATGATCCATCGGGGCATTGACCCTTCCCAATCAAGGTGAAGTTGGTGAAGCAACAGTTTTGGAATCTTCTACCACCAGCCATGCAGAAAGTTGGTCTGTACCCAGTCCTGATGCGCCAAAATGTGCCTTGCAAATGGATAATGACTCTACAGAAATCAAGAGTCATCAGGCTAGATTATGTTGTAAAGACAGAACCCTGGCACCTTCCCTCTCACTGGGGCTTTCTATATTGTATCTTGGCCAGGCACTTAGGGTACCCACATAGGAAGTGTAGTTTTGGGGAACTCCAAATGCTTACTGCCTGTGAGCTGAGAGCATTAAAACTGTCTGCAACAAACTGTCAGTTGATGTGAGATGGTGTGGCAGAGAGCCAAAGCACCTCGGCCAGGACATAGCTCCATGTGGCACAGCAGAAGAATCAGGTGCTATCTGTCCCCACAGAACAAAGGAGAAAAGCAAAATGAGAACAATGTAACAGAAAACTATGACTTGGAGATGTTATCCTTTTTAAGTCAAAGGGTGCCACCAATTTCCGTAGCAATGTGTAGAGTGGTTGGTATTTTTCTTATTTCATACAACAGGAAAGTGAAACTCAGGGAATTCTGAAACAATGTCAGCAGCAATTAAAGAATGACAAGTGAGATCTACAGCCTTACCCACCTGCCTGCCCCAAGCTCAGACTCTTGAACAAACGTGGTCGTGAATTTGAATGTCAACTTTAATATTATTGGATCTTCTCCCTAAAGCAGATTTATTTTTTACCAAAGTGCAAATTAGCCCCTTTCAGTGCTAACCTTAGGAGGAAAGGCCCATTTGAATATGTTCTTGAAGAAAGACATCCAAAAGGGAAGTAAAGGTTTTGAAACCACGACTTAAGTGGGTCAGATTGCAGAATGTGAAGAACAGGCTTCACTCCACTGAGAGGTCTTTTCCGAAGATCTTGCAAAAAAAAAAAAAGCAACACACCCCTTCCTCCTTTAAGAAAAAAAGCACTATCAACATTTCCTCTCACTTAGACATTGCCAATCTTCTTTCCCTGTGTGAGCTAACCCTCACCCGTAGAAGTCAAATACTATCAATTCAATTAAACAAAGCTATTATACCAGACAGCCACAGAGAGCTCAGGGTAAGGCTCTATCTCATTTCTGAAAGCATCCAAGAGATTTTTCTCCCAAGAAAAGAAATCAGTGGTAATGATAAGCAACTTTATAGAGATAAATCTTCCCCAAACCTCCTAGAATCACTTTTCTCTTTTGTTGTAAGCTGGCAAACAAGGAATTCATAAAGATTTCTTAAAGTCTATTTCACAGCTGTGCCTCTGCGGTAGCAAAATAAGAAGAAAAAACTGGCAGAAATTATTTAAAATGCAAAAATAGCAAAGGGAGCTATTGCGGTGGGTTGTTACAAACGACTTTGGAGATTTGGGGAGGCTAAACCCTCCAAATGCACTGAGAAGCAGTCATTTCATCTGAAGATAGCAATCCTCTCCCTGAATACTGTGCATGTATTGGAGCACCCTCTTATTAAATTACAGTGTTTTATAACCAGCGAATAAAATTGGTATCATGTTTACTATGCAAAATCCCTGCTACTTTTCAAATGGATGTATATATTTTAATATAAGATTGAAATTTAATATTGAAAACACCAAGCGATAAAAACCAACCCACCTAGTTTCAAACCCTGCTTAAATTATCTTTTTTGAAATTTTGTATCTAATAACATAGTTCAATAATACTGAAACGAGATTAATGCTATGATACTATTTGTTTAGGAAACCCTGAATGTTGCTATGGAAACAGTCATTCTGCATATCTATGGAAACAGAGACCGTGTTGTAAATAATGATACTGAAAGAAGAACCTTGTAAAGTTAGCAGTTCATTCTAAGAAAAAAGAAAAGTGTAGGTCTGTAGAGCAAGGAAAAGCAAATTTTCTTATAAAAGAACAGTACAGTACGTTATTGTAATCTTTTCATGCTAGGACTTTAATCTTAGTTTTAGAACTTGATTCTTCAGTAATTCTCAGTAGTCTGTCAGTTACTATCTTTCTAGTAATGACCAAACAAAGCCTAGATATGCTTAATGTGAAAATTCGCTGAAAAGTTTTTTTTTAATTTTATTTTCCAGTTTAAATTTAGATAAGAATCAAGGTTGCTTCACAAGTCAGTTCCAGGTCCCTCTCCCATTCCCTCCCTTCCTCCCGTGCCCTCCCCCCCCCGTTATCCCCTCATTTCTCCAGGGAGGGTGAGGCCCTCCATGGGGGTGTCCATAGTGTGTCATTTCATATAGGGCAGGGCCTAGACCCTTTCCCAAGAGTTCAGGGTGAGAGTGCACCTCACATTGTTCTATTGGAGTCCAAAGTCTGTGTGTATACTTGGGATGGGTACTGATCTGCTGCCCAAGGCTCAATAGATTCCCTAGGCCTCTTCACTGACACCCAGATTCAGGGGGTCTTGATCAGTCCCATGCTGGCTTCCCAGGCTAATGCCTGGGATTCAAGAGTTAACCTTTGTCTGGTCAGCTGTTTCTGGGGGTTAAACCAGCCCAGTCTTAATCCCTTTGATCATCAGTCCTCCCTCTCTGTTACTGGCTTTCTTGAGTTCAGCTCAGTACTTAACCAAGGGAGTCTGCCTCTTCTTCGATCAGCCACTAAATAAAGTTTCTGTTTCCCAGACTCTCTGGCCATAGGATTGTAGGCTGGCACTCCCCAGATCTATGTCTAAAATCCATATATGAGAGAGTACATGCCATGTTTCTCTTTTTGTGACTGGGTTACCTCACTCAGGATGGTTTCTTCTAGTGTCATCCATTTGCCTGCGAATCTCATGATTCCATTATTTTTTTCTGCTGAATAGTACTCCATTGTGTAGATGTACCACATTTTCTCTATCCACTCTTCAGGTGAGGGACATCTAGGTTGCTTCCACGTTCTGGCAATTACAAATAAAGCTGCTATGAACATAGTGGAACAGACATCTTTGTTGTATGAATGGGCATCTTTTGGATATATGCCTAAGAGTGGAGTTGCTGGGTCTTGTGGTAGGTTTATTCCCATTTTTCTGAGGAATCTCCACACTGATTTCCAAAGTGGCTGAACCAGTTGGCACTCCCACCAGCAATGGAGGAGTGTCCCCCTTTCACCACATCCTCTCCAGCATAAATTGTCATTGGTGTTTTTAGTCTGATAAGATTTTATCAGCCAAATTATTTGTTCTACTAATGTTAAAGTGGGCAATATTGCAGAAAGTATATGCTTAATTTAAATAAACTCTGAGAGTGTAAAATAATGGCTTTTGAAAATCTACAGTTAATCAACACTACACAGCTGTAAACTGTGCTAGTACAATAAAATTAGAGTGGGACAGGGTGGCCGAGGGTTGAGGTGATGACATCTAAAACAAAAGTGAGGTTTCCTTTTATGCTGTGAATATATGAAACCATTATTGGAATGCATGTGACACTGTAGTGATTTAAAACTTTATTCCCTGAGTAAGCCATGTCTGACTGAAAGCTAATTATTACTTCTTATTTTCCTTTCATCTTCTGATATGGCCAAGACAGCTATCATTGAGAAAATAGTGCCACATATTGTGGAAAGAAGAAAGTTACTAAAGAACATAATATGTAAACCAGCAACACGAGTAAAAGGCACCAACACAATTCTCACCTAAGCCCTTGGCATTAATAAATGTAGGGTCTGCACACATTTGAGTGCATGAAGATTTGTTTCATTTTAAAAGGTAAGTGACGATGGCAATGTCAACACTGTAATCTGAGTGAAACATCGTAGAGGAAGGAAAAGAAGTTGGCTTGTGGCCTTGCCAGCCAGATGAAGATACAAGTCACAGTCCTCCTGGCAGAGTCCCAGCCAGTATCCCAAGCTCTTTCTCATTCATTCTTTTGTGTTTAGCTCCATTGTTCAGAGTCATACAGAGAAGGACCTAATAGTCTTCTGGGAGCTGAAAGTCATGCTGACTCCTAAATTGTTACTTCTTAGAGTCTTCTAACATTTTGGCAAGCAACTATTTCAGGATAAACACAATATGTATCTTGGCTTTATTTTTCTTTAAGATACATTTTTCTGGTTTGTTTGCTTTAATTTGGAAATCTGTCATTTTTATAGGATCTCTTAGTACAACCTGGTGCTATTTACTTCAATTACTCAATTTAAAATTAAAATAACTTTTAAATGCAAAGACTGAGTGAGACCACTGCTTTTCAAAAGATGATTGAGAAGGGGATGAAGCAGGTCTTTGGCTCTGATGCAGCTGCCCACCCTTGGCCACCATCAGATCAACTCCACTCTTTTAGAAGTGTTAATCCCACTGTTTTAAAAACTACAAGAATAATATGTTACTAGACTGATTCCTCCCAACTTTTACAGGTCTGTGGTTATCTAGATATTTTTCAATTACTATTGAATTTTAAGATAATTAAGGAACTAGGGACATAGTTCAGTTGGCAGAGTGCTTTCTTGGCATGCATGAAGTCCCAAGTTCAATCCCCACCAATGCCATAAAAGGCCATAACACCTGTAATTCTGGCAGTTTGGGGGTTGGAGACAGGAGTGTCAGAAGCTCACGTTTATTGCTCCTGACATGGAGAATTTGAGGCCAGCCAGAGCTTTGTAAGACCTTATTTTACACAAAAATATACCTTCAAAATACAAAGCTAAGGAGAAAATTAGTAAATAAAACATTTCCACATTCCTAAGTACAAGAGCCTGAATGTGGCTACCCAGAACCCATGTAGAGCCAGATGTAGGTAGTACATGTCCGTAATTACAGTTCTCCAATGGCAAAGTGGGAGGCAGAGAAGGGAGAATGCCTGAAAGATTGTGGGACAGATAGCCTGTTATATACAGCAGTAAAGGAAAGACTGTCTCAATAGGGTAGAAGGTGAGAACTGATATTCAAGGCTGTCTTCTTACCTCTGTATAAGCACATTGGCACACACACACACATACACACACACACACACACACACACACACACACACACAAATAAAACCATGCTCTTCTTCAGAGAATTTTAGATATCTATAATGAATAGATCATTATGAATCACCATATATTTAAAAATACATTTAAAAATATACAGCATTTACTGAATATCTGTCATATGCCAAGAGCTCTTATCAGATGGGACAAAAAGGGGCCCAAGACCCCCATACTCAAAACAAGAACACTGGACTGCCTGGATTCTGGTTGACTCCCTAAGCAAGTGGTCTATGAGGTTCCAGGAGCCCATCTTCACATGGCTATCTATATTTCTAGCAGTCAATGCTTTCAAATTCATTGAACTTTTGTTTTTAAGTGAGACTTTGAGGTCAATAAGGGGAATGGGAGATGCTGGAGGGAGCCTCATGCACCAGGATGTCATCCTAGTTAGTATCAACTGATGTACCCCAATACCGCAGAGCAGGTTAACTTGAACCTCAGGGATGTATCAGTGTAGTTTAAGAGTCTGGAGGTCTAACATCAAGGAAATAGTTGACTCATTTTCTAGTGAGGGTTCGTTGTTCTGATTGTGTACTGCCATCTTCCAGCTCTGTCCTCAGACAGAGTAGGAGAGAGCTGACTCCCTTGGGGTCACTAAGGAATGAATCTTTTTGGACCAGGATATATGACTTCTTTTAACCGTAACTACTTCCTTCCCTATATGACGACACTAGAGAGTTGGGGATTTAATACATGAATATTGAGGGAGAAACAATTAAATCTACTGAAATATTAGCCTATTTTTGTTTATATGTTTTGCAAAATCTAGAAACAAGAAGTTGTTAAATTCCAAGTTGTTAATGAGAACTGTTGTAGCTATTCATTATTAAATGTTTCATGACTCTAACATGACATGACAATGGCATTCTATATAGGATAATTGAACACACTCACATAGCTCACATGGACACACTTTATTGAAACCCATAGAGAGAAAGAGACCACGCTTAGGAAAAATGAAAACACTAACATAGGTAGCATTTAGGTGCCTAAGTATTTGACAGCTTTTCTTTCTGCTCTTAAGCATTTTCCAGCATTCTTCCATGAATACTTACCGTTTTTAATTGAAAATAGTTATAATTATCCTATTTGGATTAATTATTATTTTAAAAAGATAACATAAATACAAAATCAGATATTTTCCAAATCATTCAATTAGTAAATGTGTAGGTTTCTTGTGTTTATATATTTAAAATGTACTAAATAATTAAAATTTGTAGCTGAAAAGTAAATATTAAAGTTTTTATGAATATTATCATTTTTATTTTTATTTGTGTGTCTGAGAGAGAGAATATGTGTGTATGAGTATATGTCTATGTGAATGTATGTGCAAATGTACATATGGGTGTATGTGAGTGCCAGAAGAGGACATCAGACACCTTAGAGATTAAGTCACAGATATTCCTGAACTACCAGATTTGGGTATTGGAATCTGGACTCTGCTCTGCATGACTGTGCTCTTAGTCACTAAAGTATCTCTCTAACCTTTGTGTTAGCAAAACATTCTATATAGCATTTTGCAAAAAATCTATATAGCATTATAATATACAATCCAGACTGGAGAGAACCATCCCTGGAAGCTATTGTGTTCCTTCTTACATATGTCCTGAAAGTCCCTTGAGAAATCTCTGCTCTATTCAAAGACTGAGGTCTTGGGTTGGGAATCCTGTCCAGCAGTCTCACCACTAAGGAAACTGATCATTTTTAGAAAGCTGTGGCATGATGTCAATGGAGTGCCTATTCTGAAGAGACTTCTCTCACCTCAGGAATATTTAACTATATTTGCTAGGATTAACCTCCCTAGAAACATTTTTAAACTATCAGACATGAACCTCCAGTATTGCAATTGGAAATGGTCAAAATCATCCTTTTTAATTTAGAAATATCTTTATTAGAAAAACACCTTTATGACTGAGTGCACTAGTTCATAATAAATAAAAGCTGTATATATTGGAGAATGTATGTACCAAGGCCCGTGCTCAAGGACAATGTTGTAAAGTCCGTTCTTTCCTTCCACCTCTATGTGGATTCTGAATAAGCAAACTCAGGTGGCCAGGATTACACTTTAGTTTTTACCCACAGGGTCATCTTGCTGTCCCCACAGTGCCTTTTTATTGCTTAATTTTTGTTTTTGTAGTTAGAGAAAGCAATTGTGCCACCACAGAGATGATGAATTTTATGTGTTATATTGACTGGCCATGGGGCACCAATGTATGTATCATCATACATTATTCTGAATCTTTCTATAAGGTGCTTTTGAATAAGATTTTCACATAAGATGGTGGACTTTGGATATAATATACCATGCTTTAAAATACAGGTGGATACCTATTCCAACCAACGAAAGAACACAGAATAAAAGGATGTGCCTTTATAAGCAGGAAGAAATGCCTAGAAACAGCCTTTGATCTTCTCTAGCAGTGACTATTCATGTGTTTGCATTTACAGTAACACTCTTTTCTGTGTCTGTAGTGTCCCCACTCTCTCTAGAAGAGTTGTGACTCACAAAGACTTCATAAATAAAGAGTGAAGTCTTTAAAGCTGTGTATGTCTGATCTATCTAACCACCTATTCATTTCCTATCATCTATAATCTATCTATTCAACTATATACTTTCAATCTTTTCATCCATCAGCCACCTATCTACAGATCGTTCCCAGTTATTTCCAGTTTACAAGAACTGTTTCAGAGGTTATATTTTCAAAATCTTTTCACAAACAGTTCATGGTGCCTTGAAAACCCCATTTTTCCAAAGGTGAAGTCTCATTCTTCTCCATTTAGTGTGGGTTAAACTAAATGAATCACCTCTCAGAAGTATAATGTGGCAGAAGGA